GCTTCTTGTATGAATGAAGTGATTGGCGAAAATCAGTTCACCTTTATGGCCGAAAAACAAATATTAGATTGCTCATTGATAGCGAATGAGATTGTCGATGATCTGAAAAAAAAAAAGAGGGAATCAGTTATGGTAAAAGCAGATTTCAGCAAGGCATATGACTCTGTTGACTGGGTCTTTTTGAATATGATATTGAGAAAAATGGGTTTTGGTAGTAGATGGATAAAATGGATTAATTTGTGTATTTCGACGCCTAATATTGTTGTTTTGGTTAATGGATGTCCTTCGAAATATTTCTCAATTAAAAGGGGATTGAGGCAAGGCTGCCCATTGTCTCCATTTCTGTTTAATGTTGTGGGTGAGGCACTTAGTGGTTTGTTCAAGAAAGCAGTTGATCTAGGTCTGTGTCAAGGGGTGCATATTGGATCAAGTAGAGTAGGTGCTTTCCACATCCAGTTTGCAGACGATTTAATTCTTTTTTCGGAAGCTGATGAAAGGAATATCTATAATTTGTTTCGTGTCCTTAGAATTTTCGAGGTCGCAGCTAGTCTGAAATTGAATATGCAGAAGATGAAATTATTTGGTATTAATGTGGAGGATAGTAGAGTAAAAGGGTGGGCAGATTCGTTGTTTTGCGATTGGGGAAAGCTGCCGACGATGTACTTGGGGCTTCCTTTAGGTTATAAAATAAACCAGAAGTTGATGTGGAATCCGGTATTGGAGAAAGTCAGAGTTCGTCTTGAAAGTTGGAAATGTAAGTTTCTTTCTTTCGGGGGAAGGATTACATTGATTAAGTCAGTGTTGGCAAACTTACCGGTGTATTACATGTCCTTATTTTCCATGCCAAAATCCATTTCAGATGCGTTAAATAAAAGTATAGTGAGATTTCCGTGGAACGTTAATTCTAATAGAGGTATTCATTGGATTAAGTGGGATGTGGTTTGTCGACCAAAATCTTACGGTGGTATTGGCATTTTTGACGTCAGTGTCAGAAATCGAGCTTTGTTGAATAAATGGCTTTGGCGATTTAGTGAGGATAAAGAAAGTCTTTGGAAAAAAGATTATTGTCGCTAAGTACAATTATGATCCTCAAGCGATTCTTCCTAGTGGTATAAGCGTGCGTAGATCGAATGGTCTATGGTATGACATAGTGCGCCCGGTATTGTCGAACGAGAGTGACATCCTTGTCGATGTAAGGTGTGTTATGGGGAATGGTTCTAGAATTGATTTCTGGAGTGATCATTGGTCCGAGGTTCGATCTTTAAAAGTAGCTTTTCCAAGAATTTATGGGATGACCATTAAGAAACAGAGAAAGATTAGAGAGTTTGGGACTTGGGTGAATGGAGTTTGGATTTGGAGGATTGAATTAAGGTGTGGGTTGTTTTCTTGGGAGATATCGATTTGGAATCAGTTTAATCAAGTTATCAACAGAGGTGTTTCTGCTGTGTCTGGGTTCGATAGATTGGTGTGGTTAGGTGCTTCAAATGGCGTATATAACTCAAAAGATTTCTGTATCAAGATGGCATCGACCGGTATGGTTCAAGACCCCATATAGAGTAAAGTTTGGAATAAATTCATGCCACCTAAAGTAGCGACTTTTGTTTGGAAAGCAGTTTATAACAGGTTGCCGGTTGCGACTGAACTGATTAAGAGAGGGGTTAATGGCAATGTCCAGCTTTGTTGTATATTTTGTAAAGATAACCCGGAAGATGTTAACCATGCGATGTGTCATTGTTTTGTCGTTTGGAAAGTGTGGCAAAAGTGGTGTAATTTATGGAATGTTTCTGTCATTGTCCCCTTGAACATTAAACATCTTTTAGAAATTTGGTCGGGCCAGTATATTAGAAGGAAAGTTAGGAATATATGGTATATCGGATTCTTCAGACTGATTTGGCAGATCTAGTTGTGTAGAAATAAGTCCTTATTCCGGGGCAACATTTTCTCGGTTGATCGGATATTCAATTTGGTCCTATTGCAGGTAGGTTTCTGGACAAATATTCTACGGCCATCCTTGGTTCCTCATGTCTTAGATTTTGTGCGAACCCCAGAATCAATTATCTTTAATTGTTAATTGTTATCCCCTGTGTTTGGTTCCCGCATCCATATTCTTCAGTGCAAGTGTTTTGATCGTTTGTAAATTATTAGGTGTGGTTTTGACTATGGTTTTTTCTGTGGGTCAACAAGCTTGGTTCGGAGTTTACTATTTCCAGTACTGAACTTTCACCTAGCTCTTGGAGGCCATTCATTTATTCTGAGTATTCCACTTTAGCAGTATTGTGTTTCTGCTACCATGACTGCCGTTTGGGGTCTACGAGTATGTTTTTGCAGATTGTAATGTTATAAGTCCGGGTGGTTTACTCTATTTTTACTTGAGTTTGGTGAAACAGTGAAATTAAGGGAGTTGCTCTGTTGGAAGTAATTTAAAATAAGAGTCATAATTTGGGGATGAATGATATAATTAACTATTTTCTTAAAGTAAGGGAACTATTAAAACTGGGTAGTTTTATTTGAATATTATCCCAATTGCTCACACGTTCACATATGAGCAGTGTAATCCGAGTCTTTTGCACAGGATACATTCTGACAAGAAATGGAAAGTTTGAGGTACTTGACCCGATATAAACGGGTAGTTATGTTGTACGCCAGCCTTAATATGTTGTTAAGAAAATATCTTATTAGAAATATTAATATTTTTTTAACATTTTTGGTAAATTGTTACTTAAAACATTAATTTTTACCGGAAATGTTAATTTCACTAACTAATTTTTAGTATAACCCAATATTAATATTTCTGATAAAAAATAATGTTTTATGTAGTCTTTTCGGTAGAGTCCAATATTAATATTTTCGGTAGAAAAAATAATGTTTTAGGTAGCGTTTCACCAGAAATGTTAAAAATATTAATTAAGACTACCGTTCCTGAGACATCCCGATATAAATTGATATCATTATGCAATCTCTTTAATTTTATTGTTGCGATTTTCACCTTCTGTCTATAACATTAACTTATTATTAAGCATTTACTTTTGAATATGTTATCAAGTACTTATTTTTAAATATGTTACTCTTACGAAATTTGTTAGTCCATTATGTAAAAAAGATCAGGGTGATTGCCAACCACACCGAATAAAATTCATCATCTTCAACCTTCACAGTTGTTCTCTTTCTATATAAACATCAACGGAAACAACTTCCAAGGCTATGGAGGAGAAAGTGAAGTGCCCTCAAATATAAATAATGTACAATCATATCTGGAATAATCTTTCCATATCTTTTTTTACATATTTTTACGCACAAAAGGTTTTTTTTACAATAAAAAACACAAATCCACACTTTGTACACTACAGCAAAATGGGTTTATAGCAACATTTTTAGCGGCGTTTTTAGAACAAACGCCGCTAAAGATGCGTACTTTAGCGGCGTTTCTATAAAAACGCTGTTAAAGATTGTACTTTAGTGGCGTTTCTGTAAAAACGCTGTTAAAGACTGTACTTTAGTTGCGTTTTCATAAAAACGCCGCTAAAGACTCATACATTTAGTGGCGTTTTTATACAAACGCCGCTATAGAATCGTGATTTAGTGGCGTTTGTGTTTACAAACGCCGCTATAGACTCATACCTTAGTGGGTTTTTATACAAACGCAACTAAAGACTTGTACTTTAGTGGCGTTTTTATACAAACGCCGCTATAGACTCATGTTTTAGTGGCGTTTGTTTAACAAACGCCGCAAGTTTACAATTTTTAAATCCCAACCCTTTTAACCTTTTTCATTTTTCCCATTTCACCTATTTTTGATGTCCTGCCAGAAGTTAAACATAAACCCTTAATCAAAGCATCTCTCTCTTGAAATTGAAACCCAATGTTTGCAACATTTGTTCTTGTGCTTTACCCTCACTCTCGCGGCTGTTTTGATCTTCAACCTAAGCTAATTTTTAAAATCTCGTAGCAATAATACTCGAAAACCCTCAAAAACTTGAAGTTCAAAGGATAAGGAGGAGCAGAGCCAGAAAAAAAATCGAATGTTAGCTTACAAGTCTCTTTTCAGGTAAGCTTCTTTTACTTAACCCCCTGTTTGTTTACTGAGAAACTGAGAAGGGAAAAAATAATTAAACTCTGTAAACAAGAAAAACCCTACCTACAAGCTAAAAATAATTAAAAGGAGAGAACTTTAGCTTTAAAATTGTCCATGTCAGGTTTCTTTTCGAAGTAAAATGAAAATTCAGAATTGGGTTTCTCATTCTCAAGGTTTAGTTTGAAACCTTACACGCGTCCTTTATTTATTGTATTTTCATGTCTGCTAAGCATTTTATACGTACACTATTATTTCAATATTCACACCGTTGTTTATGTTTCAGTATCTTAGCAGGGTAAAGTTAAATGATTCAAGCCAGGAACAGATGAAATAAATGAAAAATGAAGCTTTTAATCGTTGAAAACATTTATTTTTTTAATAAATAATGTGTTAATTCGGTAATTATTATCTATGCAGAGTTAACCATTTGTTGAAGTTCACAAATACTTATTTCAAACCAAGCCGGTTAACTACTTTCAGGTTTTTATCCCTATGAATGTGTTAAGACTTAAGAGCATAACAATTTCATGTTTATTCCCCTTTAAGCTTTGTTTTAAGATTCTTTTTAAATCTTTATGTAAGGTAGTGCAATCATCTTAAGTAATAAGACCTTATTGCAAACATTTACATTGTATTCTACCCTTGAGTCTTCCATGTCACTGGTATGCTTGCTTTGGTTGATGTGGCTCCATTTGCAGAGGTGTCTTTTGAGGGTGAAACGATGATTTATGTGTGTGTTTAAAGTGATAATCAAGTAAACTTTATGGTATAGGCCATAGCTTCGATAAGACTCAAACAATGTTAGAAACCTAGATGTTGTGTTCGCAAAAAATGGTAAGCTTGGTAGCCATTAAACTTTGACTCGCATGCTTTTTGAGATTTCTTTATATCAGCAACGTGATTTACTTATTTTTTTCCGTCTCAATTATGTTAGGTTGATCTTTTTTGTTTTGTCTGTGAAGGATTTTGAAGTACTTTATTGCATTTGAAAGATATATTGAACTTTTGGTTCACCAAGGAAGTCTATGATTGGTCGCTAGGTTGAATAGGTATAAGGCCCATTAAGTTTGGAAAAGTAAAAACAATTTGGACTCATGTCACATAAATTCTTTTTCTCTCTCTAAATTTAGTGGTTTGATCTGCATTTTCCTATCCGAGTTTTCTTATGCTATAGAAAAAAGGCATCTGGATGTATGCTTTCCTTTCTGCCTAAACTCTGTTAAAATTGGTTAGACCATAAATGTTGTAGAGGTGGAAAGATGAAATTTGCATGGTTGCAAGGTTCATTAAAGTTATATCAATTCATTACAGGGAAAATATTTTTATGAAAAATTGAGCCTTGATTTGTGGATAGGTGGGACAAAAGATAACCTAGGCATGATGGACAAAAAGAAAAGAAGGAATGGTACTCCTGTATGGAGACCAGTTTGTACTCAAGCTTGTTCCCTTGAAGGTATTTCTTGTTCTTGACAATGCATGATGTTTTTATTCTCTCTCATATTTTCTCACTGAAGTTGTTTTCATTGTAGATAATTTTCACAACTAATGGAATTGTGATTTTGTAAGGGAAAATTATTATAATTATGTGGTAGAAGATTCCTTCTTTTAGTTTTAAACACATTTTATTTTCCTTTAGCAAGAAATAACATGAAAGAACCGTTAAAAGGTTAATGAAATATGCTGAAAATTAGATGCAAAATGGATTTTTTAATTCCATGTTTTTTTGTTTAAAGGACTTTTCCAAACTAGTAGAGAACATTTGTATTTTCACTAAAAATCTTTGGACGCTTCAATTTCTCATGAAACATGTAAATAATAAATATCATATTATTTTCTGATTGTTAATTAATCAGTATAATTTCAGTTCACTGATTAATTTGAGATCTGATTGTGTTGCAGTGGGTTGATTTCGTTTCCCAGTTGTTAAGGATATATCCATTTGCTTTCGAGTTCTCCTCAGTATGCATATTCCTTTTATGCATGACATTAATTTCTTGTCATATCAAATATAATACATTTTTTGTAACATTGACCTCTCTGTATTTTCCCATAGTTATTGACTTTCTTGCTTTGTGGTGGTTTAGGCTTTCCTAGTGGAGTTCTTTGACTGTGTTCTTTCCTATCATTTTGGAAATTTCTTGTGTAACAGGTAATTTCTCTATCAGTAGCTTTAGCCTGCTGTGTCAGTTTAAGTTGTGCCAAAACCATTAAAATTCCCACATCTCACTATGAGTTTGGTGCCAACTTCATTGACCCGAATGTAGGTGGCTTCTCTCATTATCTCTACTCTTCCCGTTCACCCTCTTGTCCTCAATTCTTTTATCTTAATAAATCAAGTTATAAGTAGGACCAATTATGGTCTTCTAGTTGATGCTTATTGGGAGGGTGCTAACCGATGGTAGACTCAATGCAAGAGTGAAATGGGATTTGACAGAAAATCTTACTGTGAAGGCTAATGCTCAGGTAAATCATGTTTTCATATATCATTTAGTCTTTTTTCTTTCTTGTTTAGTTACAGAGTATATGTTTTTCTTGTGTAAACACATTGATAGTTTTTTGTTTCTTGTTCCATCTCACAAATGAGCCTAATATGTCGCATGGCATGTTCAACTTGGATTACAAGGCCGATCACTCTTAAACTGTATTATATCTTACCTAATTGGCTTTCATCCTTGTATATTTCTCTCTGTGTCATTGCAAGTGTCATACCTGGCATTCTGATTGTTTTTGAGTTTATTCATCATTATTTTTGTGCTTGTAAACAAAATTTATGTGGTGGCTTGGGCTTGCTGCCATAAAATATGAGTCTTTTGTTTTTTTAACTTTTTTTCCCTTGTAAAGGGTAAAGACTTCAGGTCTCGGTTTCAAATGGGAAATGGTGCCTTATTTGGTTCTAGTTACATCCAGGTAAATAATCTGAAGCCACATTATAATTTTAAATTCAGCTGAGCGCGCTTAACTTAGCATAATGAATACCCTGTTAATATGATGAAAGTTTCCTTTACTTGGTAAAAATATAAGTAGAATGTCTGCTCAATAAATTCCATTATTTTGGTTGCTTATATTTATGTCTTATTATGCATCTGCAGGTGGACAGCGGAAGAAGAATCTGCACTCAAGGCAGGAGTTCTTAAGCATGGTACTGGAAAATGGCGCAATATTCGTTCAGATCCTGAGCTTAGTTCTGTCTTGCGTTCATGCTCAAATGTGGATCTCAAGGTATGTAGCTGAGCCTCAAGCATGATTCACTAAGTATAGTTGGAACTCTGCACTTGGAAAATGGATCTTACAAAATTGATTCTTGGGATGGTAAAGATAACCTACGGTGCTTGCAAAGTGCAATTTGATTATTGGGTGTACATAGCGAGAAGTTGGGAAATAATTCCATTGTATATTAGGGTTATAAGTGGGAAGCGTGAAAATACACATGCAACTAGTTTGCCTTTTTGTTTCTAGTATATGTAACACATGTATACATTTATATGTATTTTTGTTATATTAATGTTTATAAATTTTAATTTATTTTGTTGTTAACTATTTTTCTGCATAATTTGTGTTTTAATTAAAATTTATGGTTGTTGTTAATTAGATAAAGCTACATGATATTAAATTTAGGTGATGTATTGCATAAATCAAATATGCAAAATCAATTAATCTAAGCTAAAAAAAGAAATTAGTGGCGTTTGTATCCAAAAACGCCGCTATATATCTGATCTTTTGCGGCGTTTGTTCCAAAAAACGCCGCTATAGATCTGACCTATTGCGGCGTTTGTTCCAAAAATGCCTCTATAGATATCACCCTTTTGCGGCGTTTGTTCCAAAAACGCCGCTATAGATCTGACCTTTTACAGCGTTTGTTCCAAGAAACGCTGCTATATATCTGACCTATTGCACCGTTAGTTCCAAAAATGTCGCTATAGATATCAACCTTTTGCGGCGTTTTTTTCCAAAACGCCACTATAGATCTTGACCTATTGCGGCGTTTGTTCCAAAAACGCCGCTATAGATCTTAACCTATTGCGGCGTTTTTGGTTCTCAAACACCGCTACCTTTAGCGGCGCTGGTATTGCCGGCGCTTCTTACGGCGTTTTTTTTATCGCCGCAAGTACTTTTAGCTATAGAACTAAAAAAACGCCGCTAAAGAACAATTTTGTTGTTGTGGTACAAAAATATTTAACGTGTGGGAGTTAGCTCATTTCCAACGTGCATGAAGATCCTGGCTACTTATGACAGTGTTGGGGCAAGGAGAGCTCTCCCCTTCAATAAAACTCTCCAACGATTACACCTCCCAAGCTCTATCTCTCCAGTATGTCGAATACACATCAGGTATGTGAGCAACTCTCCAGTAATCTTCACCTTGTTCATCCTAACGTAGGGACCTTAGAAGTTCGTGCGGCATGTCGAAAAATTTGAGAAAATTCAGCTTCGTAAGATGTTCGATCCCCAAGGGCACCTTCTCCATCGATTAACATCGCTGAATGCTTAACTTCTCCAGACCCACCATCGCCCCCACCTGGATTTGCACCCATTTCAGTTCGTTGAAGTTGTCGAGGCCTAGATGTTTCAACTTTTTAAACCCTCCAGCATTGAAGCACAGTGTGTCTCCATAGTAAACATGTACTAATTCGAGATGGACTAGGTTCGGAAGATGTTCCAGACAAACTAGAGGATCTTCCGGTAAACGACTCCATTTTAGGTACACTTTAACTAGATTATGAAGGTAGCGGATCCAATGACGCATGCTCTCCAATCTGCCCCTCAAGTACAGTCGCTGAAGCAATGGAGGTGGAGATACGAGGTGTTGAACATCGATGGGCTCGTTTTCTTCGATCGATATAAGAGATAAAGCTCGAAGACATGTCATCTTTTTGATAGAGGAGCACAGTTTCTTCCCGTCTTCCTTCTTCAACTTTGTAATACCGAGTCTCCTCAGCTGAGTGAGTTTCCCCAACTCTGTCAATATCACATTCCCTTGGTCTACCTCTATTAGACATAGCTTTTGAAGGGATTGCAACGCTCCTATTCCCTCTAAACCTTTAAACCCGTATTTCGAGTGGAAATAATCATACGACTCGAACTCGTACCGGTACACTAAAAGATGACGGAGACGCTGCAGCTGTAGGATCTCGACCGGCAGTTCAGTAACATAGGCATGTTTAAGATCCAAGGTCTCAAGATTGTGAAGCTTTCCTATGAACCTCGGAACAACTGTTACCTTGGTTTCCCTTAAGTTCAAATACTTCAAATAATACAAGTTGACAATGTCAATTGGGAACTTTGTTATGGATGTTGCTTGCATGTCAAGCACAGCAAGTAGCTTGAAGCCTCCAGGAAATAGTTTATGCAAGGATGGATTTTCGTCCACCGCAAACATGAAGAGAGACCGCAGTTGAGAAATGAACCTATTTTGAAGTATGTTCTGCAGTGTATTATGAACGGAGAGGCGCTGAACTTTGTCGGGCCACATTGCGGTCTGATCTTTCGCTATGACAGCAAAGTTTTGCTCCCTGGGCTTCAATATGATGATCTCTCGAACGAGATCATGAACGCGGCACAACCTCACCCTACCATCACTGGTCATCCCTGCTACTTGAATTAAGCTTCGGTTTAGGAGCTCGTTGAAGAAGTCCTCTGCTACATCTTCTACCATCTTTCCCTGTTTTGCTTCAACGAAGCCTTCCGCTATCCAAAGTCGTATCAGCTTCATAAGCTCGATCAGGTGATCCTCGGGAAAGATGCTCAAGTACAAGAAACATGATTTTAGATAGTATGGCAAATCATTGAAACTGAGAGACAATACTTTCTTCAGATTCATAAGCTTGTCATTGCCATCGATCTCAGCTCCAAAACTACGACCGATCGTTTCCCATTCATCTATTCTTCGCTTATTTTTCGTAGCCAAAAAACCACTAATTGCAACAATGGCAAGAGGCAACCCACCACATTTCTTCAAGATTTGTTTACAGATTTCCTCCAAGTGGGGAGGACAACAGTTTCCCCGAGAAGTCTTCCTACAGAACAACGTCCATAACTCTTCGGGTGGCAAAGGCTCCAAATTATACACTTCGCCCTCGGATTCTATGCGAGATGAAAAGGCCAAGTCAGCGTTTCGTGTGGTGAGCATCACCCGGCTGCCGCAATCGTTAGCAGGCAAGGCGAACTTGATAGCATCCCACTCGTTAATGTGCCACAGATCGTCCAAAATGATCAGGTACCTTCGTTTTCGAAGCCAGATTTTGATTGTCGTTTTGAGTTGATAGCTGCTCATGTTGTCCAGTCCATCAGGGATTGGTTTACTAATCACTCTGGAGAGTTGTTGAACCATGTCTTTAAGTAGAGTCTCCAACTTGAAAGATTGCGAGACAGTGATCCAAGCATGTATCGGCAAATGTTTCTTCACATCTGCATCATCATACACTTGCTTCGCCAACGTGGTTTCCCCCAAACCACCCATCCCCAGTAGAGAAATAACTCGGCGGTCTGTACCACCATCGATCAGCCATCCGACGAGCTTCTTTTTGCTCTTGTTGATGCCGACTACGTCTGTTTTATCCAAAAGAAGGGCGTCCTCTCGTCGGTCCCGCCATGCATTGCCTACGCTGTTGGAGTTAGACCCTCCATCAGCACAGAATCGCTGACGAAGTCTACGGTGTCCGTCACAAATGTCTCGTATTCTGGAGTTGATGCCTTGTATGTCGGAAGCGATCCGATAACGAGCCTTCATGTTCCGAATACAACAAGACATCTTGTGAAGGAAGGCAGAGAGACCTTGTCCGTGATGATGGGTGAGGAGAAGCATGTATTCGCCGAGAATGTCCTCCATGTCATGAGCAATATCTCTGATTTGCTTGACCCATACCTTGAGTTCATCGTCAGTATCTTCCAATGCATCAGCAACTCTCAAGAAGTCTCTCATGCGCTCCAATTCTCCCCTTACGTAAGAAACTTCTTCCCTACCACCTCTCAATAGTTGCGTCTCCTTCTCGAACAAAGGCGCAAGCTTTTCCAGTAAGAACTTAACTGCACTCTCTGCCATGCTTTTCTCCAACTTCCTACACTTGAAAATATCACCACCTTCTTTTTTAGTATGTGACTTCAGTGTATCTGGGGGAGGGAGGGGATTTGAACTGAAGACCCAAGGAATCCTTTTATAATACGTTGGGTACTCGCCAGTCTATTTCAGATAATGTCATTGCCGATGAATGATGGGAAAAGTTTGGGAAAAGAATTGGAATTTTCTACTTGGGCAACAAGAGTTCTTTCCATTATTTACTGATGACGAGTTAACCTTTAATTTCCTAGATCTTTAGAATTGAATTGCCTGAAAAAACAAAAAGGAAAAGTTACGACAATTGCATCATTATAGTTACGGTCGAAAATAAAACGAGACATATAGTAAGTTATTTAAATTCAATCGATTAAAACTTGATAATTGCTCGATTCAAAAAGACTAAACTAAGTTCTTAACGAATCAAAATGAGTTATTTGATACCCAATTTAAAAATCTCACGACTTACTCAAAAACTAATATATTAAATATTAAGAACTTTATTTAAATATCAATAATATTTACATATTTATAAAAAATAATATAAAATTTTCATTTCAATTTCAAGCTTAAATCGAATTCAAGTTCAAATTAAATCAAAATATTTCAAGTATAAACTTTTTTTAAGCTCGAATCAAACTTCAAACTTTTATTTTAAGTTTGAATCAAATTTAGTAATTTTAAGCTCATAAATTTTTAAGCTAAGTCAAACACAACTTTTAACTTTTCAAATCGAATCGAACAACAATACTTGAATTTAACTCAATTCTTTGCAGCCCTAATTGTAGTATAGGTACTGCTTGGATTCTTTTAATGTTTACCCGGAAAAATAATAGTTCTTGACCTTTCTTGTTTATAAATAATCATTTAATAATGTGGACCAACAAGGCTATGACTAGGATTAAGGAATTTGAGCAAACCTGTCATTTTCTTTAAAACCAATTACTTATCCGAGTAACTCAGCGTTACAGCAAAAGGGCATTAAATTAATCAATAGACTTAGCATTCAACAATATGTTCCCATCACATAGAATTTTCGTAGTAAATTAACTCTTAACTATTCAAACCAACTTTTTCGACAGTGCTTAAATTGCAGAACAAGGCAACCAAACAGCTTGAAAGCTACAACTAGACTTTCTTATATGGATAAAAAGTGACATCCCTAAGCATTTAGCAGCCTGTAAATGCTCCAAATTTTCTTGGACCATAAAATAAGTAGATAAGCTTAGTTAACGAAGATCTCATGACGATCATCGATGTGTTCTCCCTGTGATAACAATGGCCAGAATGCTTTCTTTTAGGAGTTTCCAGGCAATCTCTGCCTAATAGTTATCCATAATGGAAAGTGCAATTCATTGGAAAATGAACATA